GGGGGGGGGGGTGAGGAAGGGGGCAGAGGCTGTGGGAGGAAGGGACAGCGGAGGCTGTGCAGAACAGTGTGGGGCAGAGGCTGCAAGGAGTAGATAGGCAGGCTGTAGGGGAGAAAAGTTGGGGGAAGAAGGCAAGGGGGCTGCCTGATCCCCCTAGCTCCGTGCACCCCAGCCAATGGTTTCCTCATACAGCAGTTGAGGAGGGATGAATTTAAGATGACCCTCTTATAATTAGATTCTGTACCTGGAAAATTATAGCAAATATGTATGAATTTTCCTGGTATACAGTCTAATTATTTGGGAGTCATCTTAAACTCAAAGTTACCTTGAATTCAGGTAAATATGGTACTGTCAGGTGGCACAAGCCATCTTGTGCCAAAGACAAAGACTCTTGAATAAATATGGAGGAACAATGACATTTTTTAGTTTAGTTGTTGAAGCAAAAAACAATTCAAGTCAGGTGAAGTGGAAACCTTATATACACATCTATATACATACATATACATATATGCACATACATATACTGTAGAATGCCAGTTAATGTAGCTTTTAGTAACCAGATACTAGTGCTACTCTATTAACTGGAATTTCTGGCTGGCCGAATGCATGGTGCGGGGCGGAGGAAGGGGGGAGGGACCTGGACGCGGCAGCCACCACCACCACCACCACCCTGAGCTGCTGCTGCTGCTCCACATGCAGCCACTGCCACCCCCACCTCCTGCTCACGTCTGGCTAAAAACCCCCGTCTTAGGTAACCGATTTTTTCGATAACTGGCACCCCCCTAACCACCACACATGCTGGATAACAAAGCTTTTACTGTACATACACACACACGCACACACTCTGAAAAGTTTCGTCTCAGGAAAGTCGCTCTCCTGCTGCCAGCTATGATGTGTTTACTTTTGGGGTATTTAATTTCCTGTCAACAGTTTTTCCCTCTGTTTTAATATAAAATTAAGTCAATCTTAAAATGAAATTGCCCCTGTGAAATGAAGGACTAAAAGGCTTGCTCTAAAGAAATATAAAAAAAGGAACATTGCACCACTTCCACAAATGCCCCCTCCCCTTTGGTTAAAAGTAGTTGCCAGATTTTAACTAAATTCACAAATAGTTTTGGTCCAGCTGAAACTACATTTCGCCCTCTACATTTTTGTAGCTCTCTTCCAAAATACAAAAAGTTGTATGTTGGATACTGTGAAGGAAGACAGTGTAAGAGGGACACTCTTCTGTACTTTCTTGACTGGGGTAAGATACAAGCAGGCACTAATGAAATGCCATTAGCTGAATTAAATAGAAAGGGCATCATCCTGTAGATCAGTAGTGTATATAACATTCACCCTGGCACATCATGTGGGATCAGGCCCATGGTAATAATTTTTAAAAAGTTATACAGCCAGAATGTGAAGTATTCATCATGGACTTCAGTGGAGATACAGCAGAAGGACATAGTTCTTACTGAGATCACAACTCAGCCTATTCAAGTGTTACTGTATTTGGTGAACTAAGAAGGTCTTAAAATGAAAAATGCCAAACATACCTGAATTTTACCTGATCTCAAGGCAGCAAACATACACTGGGCTGTATTAAATGCATGTCTCCAATTGTGATATGCAACATTTTTCCGATAATTTTTCTTCACACTTAAAATCCATCTGCAAAGAACCTGTAACAATTCAATGTAAAATACACTACAATTTTATTCTTTTCACGCAGAAAAATGAATACAACTATATTTTGTGGAAATTTTCCTCTTTCCTTATTCTTTAGTAAATTTCAGAAGGCTGTGTTATATACTGAAACATTTCTTTAAGAGCAGGCATAAATAAAGTTAACTTCCCAAATTGCCAATTTGATACGTTTGCCAATATGATATTTTTTCCTATTTGGTTGACACCTGTCCATGAATAAAAACAAAGAAAAAAGGTGCATTTCAGATGCACTGCTGCTAAATCTAAATATAGGAATTCAGCTCTTCAGTGTGTCACCTCAGTATTTTTGTTTCCTATAAAGACAATTTCTAGTGAATTAAAAGGCTTTCTTAAGGGCTACCTGAGAAAGAGGTTTGGAAAGTAAATGTGAGTTCAACTGTGATCAAAACACAAAATGAAATTTGGAAAGCATTTAAGTATATTAAAGACTTTTTTTTAATGATGATGACCATATTTCTGGTATTATTACTAAGGAAAAAGCAAACATGTGCTGGGTACTTTACAGAACAAAATTAAAGTTATGGCCTGGCCCCAGGTTTTAGTTGCACAAAAGTGAAAGTTAATGGGCCAGATTTTCTATTGATGTAACATCATTGTTTTGATGTAAATAGAGCTATGCTGATTTATACCAGGTGAGGATGTGACATCTGTTTGTTTAAAGGAGTTTTAGTAGTCCTCTGAAATGGTCAAGTTGATAGCAATGATAATCAACATCTTGCATCCCAGAAAAAAAAAAGACACACAGAAAAGAACATTTGCCAGCATACTTTAGCCTATTGACTAATAATAAAATACATTTTGGCTTTTGATTTTGGGGGTTTTATCATGGAAAAATCAGAGCTCCCCCTGCCCCCTTTTGCTCACTAGGATGCAGACCCCTTGCTCCCAGCCCCC